GTTGGCAACGGATATTGAATAATATGCGAACTGGGAATACAGAATACGCAACGTTCAAATTAGATCCCATGCTTTCCAAATGAGTGCTGAGTATCGACGGACAAATCTAGTTCACAGACATACACGCATATCCAACAGGGAAACTGCTCAAAGCCAATCCGACTTCCGTCTGCGACCAGCTGGCAAGATTGCGCCCCGGACAAGGCCGAGCTGAAAACAGAGAAAGTCGTGGCCTTGACCAATTGTATGACTTACATGTAGGTATTGGGCAGACCAATGATGACGAGAGTGACGCGATCGTGTGCCTGTGACGTGCGTGCCTGACGTGCCTGACGTGCCTGACGTGCCTGACTGTCTGGATTGGGGGGGATGATTTCGAGGGAATGCGCCAGCCAATCAATTTGGTGGAAGCCAGGGTTTCGAGACGGCCCTGGGTATGGTTTGTCATATACACACGACAACAAGTCACCGGTCAGGTGAAACAAGGTGAGTGGCTGTCGTTCACCTGGCCGCCCTGAGGTTGTCTGGATGACAGGTTGTGGGGACTTCAGCGCTCTAAACTTTCTATTACAGGGGATCAAAAGCATATTGCTAGGTGTAAGAGAATAGAAGCACAATGGATGAGTTGATTCGATGTCTGTCGTCGAAGATGATCAAGATAATTTTAGGTCTTCTCTCCTTTTTCAGCCCACCACCGACACCTGCGGGATGAGGGGAAATATCCGTCAGGGGAATTTGTTGCTGGAGATTCCCGTGTTCGTGTCCATCCAATGCGAATGCCGTGTCACTTGCCCCACAGCGCATGCCCCTGCGCCTGGCCGGGCTGGCCGTGGCTGTGGCTTTGGAGGGGAACCTGGACGAGCGGACCAGGGGGGGGGGAGGGGGGGAAACAATGGAGCCAAACAAATGTTAACGAGGATTGGCGCATTCCACGCTGGCACTGCTGGGCTTTTATTGTTTCCCTTGAACCCCACATTGATGATCCGCGAAACACGAATGTACATACGGTACCCAGTAGGCAGGTACGGCATATCAACTTTCTGAGAAGGAAGGCAGAGGGCAAACCGCAATATTCTTTACTCCCCTTTTCAGTATAAGCTACGACCTTTTATGATTTGACGACTGGAACGAAGAAAACGACCACTCGCGGCAGAAGGAACCGAGGGCCACAGCAAGCTCAAGAGTACCTTTCCAGGTTGGCAGGCACGCACGGCAGGTAAGCAATAACACGGCCATATTATCGACAACGGATGGAAGCTGGGCTGCCTGCTGGCTTTTTGGTCTGGTCTGCAGTTCGTTCAGTCCGAGTTTTCCCTCGACTCGACGCCTTTCCGTCTGGCTTGTATTAACGTATTAATGTTTCGAATAGCCAGGCATCTCTTCTGTCGCACACTCGATCTTTGCCGAACCTACCATACACGCACTCGGAACCCACCAGCTGGTTCTTCCAAGCTGTCTGCGAAAAGGCTACGACGCTAAGGTACACCTCCGCCTCGCAGGAAGTGCATTCCCATCGAATCCCCTCTGCACACAGCCTATGCAGTGCTTGTTTCGCCGTGTGCGGTGAACACTTCGACCTACAATCTGCCCACCCATAGACTACTTGTTTGGGGAAAGGGCAAATCAAGTCGCCATGGCCGACCGCGACTATGACGAGTCGGAGGGACCGTTCGACCCGGAGCTCCTATACACCAAGGAGTATTGCATTGGTGGTGGAAGCTTTGGTAAGGTCTACAAAGGGTATGCTGCTGTCCTTGCACCCCGACTACTCCACAGGTCGCTGACATGTGCCCGACTGTAGCGTTGACAAGAGGACTGGCCAAGCCGTAGCTATCAAGGTCATCGACATCGAAAGCGCCGAGGACGAAGTCGAAGACATCATTCAGGAGATTGCCATCCTGTCGGAGCTGCAGTCCCCATACGTAACTAAGTATTACGGCTCCTACGCCAAGGGTGCTGAGCTCTGGATTGTCATGGAGTACTGCGCGGGAGGCAGCTGCGCCGATCTGATGAAGCCCGGCCTTATTAGGGAGGACTACATTGCCATCATCGTCCGCGAGCTGCTCATGGGGCTGGACTACCTGCACTCGGACAAGAAGCTGCATCGAGACGTCAAGGCGGCCAATGTGCTGCTCACTGCTAATGGCCAGGTCAAACTTGCCGACTTTGGCGTGTCTGGACAACTTTCGGCAACCATGACGAAGAAGAACACGTTTGTCGGCACGCCGTTCTGGATGGCGCCAGAAGTGATCAAGCAAAGTGGCTATGATCAAAAGGCTGACATCTGGTCGCTGGGAATCACCGCCCTCGAGTTGGCCAACGGCGCGCCCCCGTACGCCGACATCCACCCCATGAAGGTGCTCTTTCTCATCCCTAAGAATCCGGCCCCCCGGTTGGAGGGGAACTTTACCAAAGCGTTCAAGGACTTTATTGAGCTCTGCCTTCAGCGGGAGCCTAAGCAGCGTCCCACGGCAAAGGAGCTGCTCCAGCACCCATTTGTACGCAGAGCCAAGAAGACCACCTACCTCACAGAGCTGATCGAGCGCTACAGCCGGTGGAGCGCCACTAACAAGTCCGAGGACGAGGAGAGTCTCTCGGGCGACGAGTCTAACAACCACGACGCCGAAGAGAGGAACCAAGTCGATGAGGACATGTGGGACTTTGGCACCGTTCGGCTGGTCGGTAAGGACGGCGGCCTCGTGCACAGACCGGGCATGCTCAACCCGATGGACGAGTCGACGACGAACGTGAGATCATCGAGAACGGCCGAGAATGCAGATGATTACGGCGAGAGGCGCAGGGAGCCCAGCCCGACGAAGCTTGCAGCAGACACTAAGGATACGCTCAAGCCGTCGGTTGTCGTGGCCAGCACGTCGAGGCAGACGTCGCCGCAGCGAAAGCCAGTACCGACTCCATCTATGCCTCCCCAGTCGCCCGCCGGGTTCCCGTTACCCCGTTCACCGGGTAAAGTGCAGCAGGCGCGAGATGTCGAGACGCCTCGAGCATCGCTGTCGCTCTCGAAACCGATGCCCCCTGTGCCGGTCGATAGTTCTCCAGACTACGATCGTGTGTTGCAGGAGCAGCTACAACGGGACATGGGTGTGATGAATCTGGGCCAAGCGATCCAGAGCAATGGCCAACAGCAGCAACAGCAGCAGCAGTTCCGGCTCTTCCCGCTGCAGCAAAGCCCCTCTCCTACGCCACAGCAGTCATCATCAAGAGCATCCTCTTCATCCAGATTCGCCCCGATCAAACTGCCAGAGATCCCCCCGTTCAGAGGAGGACAGACACCACAACAACAACAACAACAACAACAACAACAACAACAACAACCTCTGCAGCGAGTCGTGAACCAGAATCAGCCGCCCCAGCCCCTCGTGAGCAAGGCTGCACAGCCTCCCCAGATCCCTCAGCACGGCAAGGTCACCTACGGTAGCGCCAACCGAAATAGTAGCTCGCTGGTGTCCAAGGAGCTTCCCCGCGCGTCGGCGATGGCGTCGTCTTCGTCGGCTCCCGAGCAAGGAGGCGGCTCTTCGGCGGCGGCGCAGCCGCTTTCGTTCCCCTCACCGGCGCCGGCAAACCCGAACGGGGACCTCGACGCGCTTAACGACGTAATCTTCCCGGCCCTCGAGGAGGCGCTCAAGCGCCGCCAGATCCGGCTGCAGCAGCTGTACCGCCCCGAGCCGGGTTTCCCGATGGCGCCGCCGACGCCGAAGCAGCAGCGCGCCGAGGCTGCCCAAGACAAGATCCGCAAGCTGGTTTATAGGCTCGCCCATGTGTGCAAGGAAATCGACCATTATGACAAGGCCGAGCCGGTGGGTATGGGCAAGGACGTTCCCACGTTTCTGGAGGGCTTGCTAGAGGAGATCTTGGTCAGGGTCGAGCCGCTTGACGAGGAGGAGGCTCAGCAGGCGGGGATTTAATCGCCTCCGGTCCGGTACTGCTGTGCTGTCTTATGACAGATAGCAAGTTCCTCGAAAGTGGGGCAGATGAACGCAAACGGAAACGACAGCAGCAACAGGATGGTTTGCTTTCATCCCAGACAATCAACCAACCTTCTAGAAGCTCCTCGAAGATGGATGCGACGACTGTGTATCCCATGATACGATGATGGCGCAAAGAAAACAATTTGCAGCGTTTCGGCCCTTGCTTTTTTGGGCCGGACAGAGCGCGCGGCGTCATGGGCTGGCGACCATGATATAAAAGGTATGTCCCACTCACTTCCCCAAGTTTTACACACCAACCGGGAGTTCCAGCGTCTAACTTTATGGGCTTGGTTAAGCTATGGCTTTCAACAGAGTTTATACGATACGATGACCGGACGGGTGGCCCCAAGGAAAAGCGTTGCGGAAGATGCAGGGGTCGAAGCCTAACACAGCGGTGCTGTACCGGCTTCAGTGGCCTGAATCACCAGCTCGCTTCTTTGATGGAGAATCGAAGATCAGGGACCCAGACGGTTATGGTGGCCAGAGCGAAAATTGGGTTGCGAAACTGTTTCTGGTTTGGAGGAAACAACAGGTTCCAAGCGACATGAACCTTATTGGCATCTTGGTCATCTGGTAGAACATACACCGATAATAATTTTGCCAGTATCTTCCTCTGTGGGGTGTTTAGCATGCCTTTTTTTCGTCGCGAAAAGTGAAGACGCAGAATTCCAAATCAGGAACAAAGTCCTGAGCCTGACCTTATGCATCACTTCGATCGGGATCTCTCCACGATCGTAGGTATGCACAGAGTTTTGTGTGCAGCAGTGACGTGATGTGACATGATTTCTCGGGCCCGAACCCCTGAGCTTTATTTTCCGTCCCCCCTTTCCGATTTCCAAATTCTTTGCAATGCAGTGTTACCGTAGGCTCTGTCTGCCATTTCTACGCCATGTAGGTAAATTGGAGAAAAGAATGAGTGGAGTTGGTACCCAGGCAGGTGCAGAGATCCGCCGAGATGCCTACTAAAAAGAAAAGGGGGCCACTACCGAAGTGGATGAAGCCCTGATGATTGTTCGACGTGGGCCTGATTTGAACAGACGCCTCCGAAGAGACATGATTTCTAGTCATGCGCATTAGACCACTCTGCCACCACGCCATCGTTATTTTGATGTATTTTCTTCCGCGGTTAATGTGGCTTTTGAGCATAGTTTGATCCGCACCCACAACGCAGTAGTTTCCGCTCAATTCCAACATCATGGCATGTCAACTTTTCTGGACTTTTCTCTGCCTATTCCAAGGTTTACAATATCTGCTGGTAGTTGGCGATAATACCAGACAACGGGGGAACTCTTCTACATAGACTGGCTTTGCTGTAGTCTGGTATTCACGCTGCATGGCAGGTAACGGTAATCATTCGCTTCTAGATACAAACAATACCGCAGGCGTCTTTCTCTTCTAGGTACCTACCTGGTACCTATGTAAGGTTAGTATCCGGGCAAGAAGAGAGCACTGTCGTTAATATCCAGCTCTTCTATGCGCACCTACGTACACATCACCCCTGAACAGACTAGAGCCAAAGCAGTTGTACGTCTGTTGTCGTGTCCTCTCTCATCCCTGAAACACAAAAGCAAACATCACAGTTTCTCTTTCTTCTGTATCTTGCCTAGGTAGGCAGGTAGCTACCTACTCATGAACCCAGGAAAGAAAGGTACCGAACTGCATCCAGCAATGAGCAACAGCAACAGCAACAGCAACGCAGGCACTACAATACACCCTCGAGGCGCTCCTCTTTTCTAGGTAAGCAACCTCATCATATTGAGACTCCGCCCAAGCCCTCCCACGCCTGTATCTGAAACGGAAAAATCGTAACATTCTTAGCTGCGCAATCAACCGTATCAGTCGAGTAAAGCTGACCCATCTTCCAGTCCGGATTCTGCCAGCGCTGCGAATCGCACTGCAGCGAGATATTCGCAGTTCCCGACGCGTTGAAAAATATACTATCTCGTCCACCATCCAAATCGTCCCCCAAACAAGCCCAGGTCTGATTCACGTCCAATTTTCCGGCGGACCTATCGAACCTAAAAACCGCCATCGCAAATGCTGGGACTGTTATATTTGGGGCGCCAGTTATGTTTGTCCCGGTCGGAAAGGGCTCGTCGCACGTGTACCACTCGTTCCCATAGAAAAAGTCGGTAGGACTGAGACTGCGCGCGTAGCATGACTGAGTGTAGTCGAGCGCCGTGTTGGTCAAGTTGAAGGAGACCTCGCCGTCGGCGACAGCGCGGTGGGCTGGCGTGCTGAAGATTACCGAGGACCGGAACCAGAAATCTTGGGCCGTCCAAGACAGAGAGTCGAACGAGGTTTCGGCACAGGTGCTGCTTTTTGCTGCTTCATTTAATGTATCTTTTCTCTGTAGTGGGCTGTTCTTGTTGCGGGAGAAGATGGATGGCATGGCGTAGACAAGGGGTGTGATGGTGGCTAAAAGCAAGCCAAGGAGATGGAGGAGCGTGATGGCGACCATGATGGCTACGGCTTCACCACCATGTGATGAGAAACCAACTTTGAACTTTTTGTAGACCAGAAAATAAAATCCAAAAGCACGAGGTGCGCCAGGGTATTCTGAGCGACTACTAATATATGTCTCGCTTCAACTTCAGCAAGCTCGGATTTCTGTCCAGGAGACCGGGTGCAACGTTGGATCATCATGGCTCATCACCCGCTCCCGGAGGCACACACACACAGCATATGACGTCCGTTCGACGTTATACAGGGAAAAGAGCTTGAGGACTCTCGTATTACCAGGAAGCCGACAACTTTCTAATAACCAGGCACCCAACAGGCACACGGCAGCTAGGCCGGCTATTTACCAACCAGTTCCTGTCCCCACCCACATGTAAACAGCCTTTATATACGTAGGGCTCCAACTGGAGGGTTACTGTCAAGCGAGACATGCATTAACGATTAACATACGGTTTTTATCTTTCGTATTCCCAATGTGTGTGGGGTTGGAGGATGGTTGCTTGGATGTTCACGGGCTGCCAGACCTGTGGTACCACTTCCCGGGAGCAAACATGTCAGTGACGGCTGCGAGGTCCCGTCCGGGCTCTTTTTGTGCAACGGCACATCCAGACACCATCAAACATTGGGCAGATGACAAACCCAGAAGAGAAAAGAAGATACTAGAAAAACGGGCGCCTTTCAAGATGCCATATCATAGATGTGGTAGCCTTTGCTTTCGACAATAGCAAATCCCCTTGCCGCCTTGGACCAGAGGTAACTGGACACCTACGTACCATATTAGCCCATATTAGTCGAGATGACAGAGAGAGTGTAAATAGAGAGGCGCTTGTATGCGGCCTCATGTCTTGCGACGTGTTTAAGGGCCCACACGAGGAGAGCAAACCCGTGGAGATAAACACTTCTGGAACGAATGGCAGACACGCGTGGTAGAACAACAACACACCCGCCGGCTGGCTGGCAAACGGTTAAAAGACCTACTCCATCCACCAATTCTCCGATTCGGATCCGCCGCATGTGTGTATGGGTGCACCTCCGCGGCTCAGATATGTACACCTGAGCATCCATACTTTCCGTCGGCACCGAAGGGGTTCTTTGGGTAACCTTGAACTTGTTCCATGTGGTACCAATAGAGCAACAAGACAAAGTGACAGGGAAACTTTGCACAAGGACGGAGATGGTGTGACAGGGAGGGTTAAGCGAAGGCTGTCAAGTCCTTCCAAAAGGGCTTTTTTCGCGCCTTGCTCGCGTGACCTTGCTGGTGTTTTTGTTCCTCGACAACCGATGTATATAACAGCTGACATATATCCTTTTTCCGGCTTTCTTCACAGCTGATCCATAAGCTTGGAGGCAGCATAGTCAATGTTCGACCCCCAGCTCGCTGCGGTGCTCTGCACGTAGAGCACGCCATCCTTCACCATGACCTCGCAGTACGAGTCATACTCCAACTTGTCCACGATGCGAAACGCCATCTCACACTTGTCGACCGCTTCCAGGAAGCCTTCCTGGATCAGGTCGTCCTCCCCAACCTTGAGGTAATTCATCTGGGACGCGAGCCCCTCGAAATACTTGTACGTGAAGCTGCCCAGGTTGTTCTGCCAGTCATCCCGGATGCTGTTGCCCTTGACCTTGATCGCGGCGGACAGCTTGGCGAAGCTGTCGTCAAAGTTGGGCGTCAGCTTGATCTCGTCCTCCTTCTTGCCGAGCATTTCGGCGATCTTCTTTCGCGTCTCGCCGATGACGGGCTCGTAGTCCATCCGGATGCCCTGGCGCACTGTAAAGGATAGGGGCCGGTCATCCGGGGCGGCGTTGAGGGCCGGGAGCAAGTTGTTCTCTTGCAGACAGTAGTCAATGTTCGTCCCGAGGCTGCCCTCGACGAACAAGATGCGGAGCTTGCCGTCAAGCACGTCGCAGCCGCCGTACGAGAAGCGCGGCGGGCTATTCTCCTCAAGATCGAGGGTCAGGACGTGGGCGTGGCAGATGGTGTTGATCTCTTTGTTGAACTCGTTGTCACCGTATCGCCCGCTCAGGTACCTGAGTTGGTAGATGGCGCCTTCAACATAGCTGCCCCCGGGCGTTAGTTTCCTCGCGGATAAGACGGGCAAGATGTGTGAGATCCTGACCTTTTGATGCAGCTTCCGAGCGATTCCTTGGCATAACCATCACCGTGGTAGGGCCAGATGGCGTTGGGATTGATGTCGATGGTCCAGATCTCTCCGAGGAGTTCGGAGAGCTGCTTCTCCAAGTCTGCCTTGTGGTTCTCCCACTCATCCCGGACTATTGCAGTGGTAGTTAACATCAGTCTCATATTTGGGACAGGGAGTAAACTCACGGTTCTTCCGGATCGCAAGGGGGAACTTCTCAGTTGGTGGAAGACGAGGCATGATGGCTGTCCTGTAAGGTATTGGCGGTGGGAAGATGATGGAACAGGTTGGGTTGGTGGACTGGGACCGTGGTGTGCGTCTGGGTTGGACATGTCGACCTTTTATATGCCGTATTCGGAGTCATCGCTTCTCGGATTCACGCAAGATGGGCTATCCTCCCCACCCTGAAGACTTGGCGGCGCATCGTCGAAGCGGGCGCCCGCCGTCCTCAACGACGGGTTCGTCAACCTGGCCGCCTTCCCCGCTCTGCGCTGCATGCGGCGTTCCCAATTGAGGTCACCGAAACGGTTGTGGAGATGAGATTGAGGTGATTGTTCAGAGCTAGAGGGTTGCTGCCTGTGGCTGAGCCCGAGCTAGTTGAGAGGGTGTCGGAGAGAGTTGATGGAGAAAGAGGTGAGGGGTACGGATACCAGGAAACAAAACCAACGTGTCCGTAGATGCAGCCGCATGTGATATCTTTTCTTCATGGACATCAAGGCAAGTGCATGCGGTTTATTTTGGCATACGTAGTACTCAGCGGTCAAGGCTCCGTACACAGTCCCCGAGTCCGCCCGCCTCGTTTGCTGCACCTAACGACATCCCCGCGCTCAGCTGGCCTTGGCGGTCAAGCCTTCAGGGGGTGGGCTTGATGCCTGCAGGACCCTTGATTAAGAAAAGCAAGAGAGGACAGTTGCCTACCATGGGAGGCCGGAGTGATTGATCAAGGATATATCTTATCAAATGATGTGTCTTAAAAACCCCACGTTCGAACCGGATATCAATCGGGGAATTACACAGTTCATCCTTCTCCTTCAAGAGCCATTTACCTGATGTTCTCGAGAACAATCATGCCTTCACTGTAAGTTAGTTCAACAAAACCCCGACCTATCACAACTGAAACTGACAACAGTCAGACCACTTAAAGTCCAAGTCGGCATCCGAGATCACTGGACCAAAGAAGACAGCGAGGTGCAGACCACGCTGAAGAGCCTGGAGGAGTTGCTAGGCCACAACGTCGTCGTCGAGCCAGAATGGCCACTCCTTGTGACCGAATTGGATACATATTACCCAGATAAGGGTAGCCTGGTGGCCGCCGTCGCGTATAGCGTCCAGGCATGGGCCAAGGCGATGATGGAGCTCCTTGACGACTCGGCACACGAAGAGTGGATAGAGACAGTGCTCGAGAAGACCGGAGCGGTAGGACGACTGCGATTGTATATCGAAGTCGCAGCCAGCAGCTCCGAGACGGATGGCGCGACTTCCTGGTCTGAAAGTC